TAGGTTGGTTGAATCTTTTCTTCCTGGCTCCATTTTGTTTCTTTAAGTCTGGCTGGAGTTGTGAAGTTCCCCAGGTGATTGTGATGTACCACCAGGTTTAGGGACTACTGATTTAGGTCTGTCTAGTTTTATCATCTCATAGTTTTAATTGTAATATGTGGCAGACCATGAAAGCACAGCAGGAGTCAGGCAAATTAAGGTGTTGTATTTGTTCAGAGGCTGTCTTTTTGGCTTGGGTGATGTGGGAACTTAGGGCTTTCCATGTGGCACTAGTGGTAAAGAACTCACCTGCCAATGCAGGAGATGTGAGAGATCTCCTGAATTCCTGAGTCAGGAAGATCTCGTGGAAGAGGGCATGGCAACCCACTCCAGTATTCTTGCCCAGAGAATCCCACGGACTGGGGAGCCTGGCGGGCTATAGTCCGTAGGGTCAAAAAGAATCAGACACGACTGAAGTGTCTTAGCATGCACGCAGCACATGGGAACTTAATGAAATGGCGTTGTTGAAATGGACTTTGAAGAGTGAATGCAGATTTCAGTAGATGCAGAAGTGATTCATGATTGGTGTGTAGTCTAGCTTAGAGGCCAGAATATATGCAAGGAAGCAGTGTAACAGGGAAGAGTCAATTTTGACTCCATGTTGGATCTGTTTATTTGACTTTAACCATTGCTTTTCATTGCTTTTGTTACTATCATCCCACATAATTGCGTGCCTCAGGGGACCCTGCACCTCTGCCTGAATGTTAAACTAAAATGGCTTTGTTCAGCTCACAGGGAGGCAATATGATTCTTTGTTGTTGTTGTTTAGTTGCTAAGTCATGTCCCACTCTTTTGCGACCCCATGGATGGTAGATTGCAAGGCTCCTTCTGTCCATGGAATTTTCCAGGCAGGAATACTGAAGTGGGTTGCCATTTCCTTCTTCCTGCCTACCTATGAATGGCTGAAGAAAAGAAGAAATGAACACATTCCCTCCTATTTTGCAAGATAAATGACCTTTTAACTTTATTTCCTCACCCTCTTCTATAAAAGAAACAGGCATCCAGACCCCAATAAGATGCTTATTTTGAGAAATTAGTCTGCCATTTTCTCAACTTGCCAGCTTTCCAGATAGAGTTCAAATTACTTGTCTCAACACGTCATCTGTAGACTTGTTGGCCTGCCATGCAATTAACAGAGTGAGCTTGGTACCAGCAGAAGGGAAAAAATTATCCATTTTGATGCAGTGGGGGTATGCTTCTAATCTTGTTTTTCCTCTTTTACTCATGATACTTGGTTGTCCTTTTGGAGATGAAAGATTATATTGTTGCATTTTATCTTCATTTTGGTAGAAGTAAAACAAAGTGATGGACATCACAGGGCTGCTTTGGGAAATGGACATATTCTTCCTCAAACCTTCTGGGGTTGTGCCCTTTGAGATTCACATTGACCACCCCATTAGTTTTCTGGTTAAATGCAAAGAATATCAGGACCCATTATTTTATCTAAAATAATAATTTTGCTGTCAGAATAATTATTATTAAGCCAAAGTTGGCTGTTTTGTTTAGATGAAACCATATAAAGGCAACATTCTGAGTAAATTATATGGCATCCACATGATGAAATAATGAGCCTAAGTTTAGGGGATGAAAATAATGATCTAACGCAATATTTAGAATGGGTATACAGTATGTAGTTATTAACCTAAAAGTCACATCCTGTATTCTTTTGATCTGTGGAAAATTTGTCATTAATTGCCAGGAAGCCTTTGATTTTTTCATACATAATCACGTCATAGCTGTTGACTCTCTCCCCTTTCTCCTGCTTTAAAATACATCTTTGTAAATAGTAGATTACTTTCAGATCTGGAATGCCCCTTTTAAACATTGGGTTGCTAAGTTTAGCCCTGTTGCTCTCTTTTTAAAAATAGAGTTCCACCCCCCCTCCACCCAGACTTCACCTCTGAGTTGTCACTGACGAATCATACTTTGTTTTTTGATGGTAGCTTGTGTAAAATCTTATTTAACCTTCCTCCCTGGTGGGAACCTGCCAGTTTTGAAATGCTTCTTGTTTTCATGAGTTACTATTGTGTGAAGAAAATGGATATGATCTTCCACTTGGAAACAGTCTGTGAGATGAAGTCTGACCCTTCATTCAAACTCACTCTACTTGATGCAGTTCTTATAAAACAGTTTTCAAAGACAGAAACACAGAAGTCAAAATTGAGAAGAAAGAATGAGTTAGTAAGGCAAGAAATGAGGAAGCTAGGCTGACCTCTAGCCTGACATCCAGCCCATGGTTATCCCTGGTAACTGTCTCAGAACAGTCTAAGAGCTTCACATTAACCTGTGACCAATGGTACTGATGAACCTATTTTCTGGTCAGGAATAGAGAGGCAGACGTAGAGAATGGACTTGTGGACACAGCAGGGGAAGGAGGGGGTGGGATGAATTGGGAAAGTGGCACTGACAATTATACACTATCATGTGTAAAATAGCTAGCTAGTGTGAGCTGCTGTGTGGCACGGGAGCTCAGCTTGCTGCTCTGTGATGACCTAAATGAAGGGGATGGGGGTGGATGGGAGGAAGGCTCCAGAAGGAGGGGATTTGTGTATACTTATAGCTGATTCACGTTGTTGTATAGCAGAAACTAACACAACATTGTAAAGCAATTATCCTCCAATTAAAAAAAATAACAGCAGCAATAACAAACAAACAAACAAAACCCTGTGACCATCCAGTCAGCCCGCAGGTTGATGCAGTCCTTTCTGTTGTTGGCCTATTGACGATCCCTTGACTTTGAAATTAGAAAAGTGAAACTAGCAAGTCCCATATGACTTTTTGCTTGCAGGGAATCACCTTTATTAATGTGAATTCTTGACCTGCAGTAGCACCAGAGCTCCTTAGAGAGTGACTTTCACTAGACCTTTTGAAAGGAACAACAACTCCACTCCCCAACATAGCTATTATCAAAGAGGCACCTTTCTTACAGTAAAACTTCAAACTTGAGAAAATGTCCCCAATTTCAGGAAGAGCCTTCATGGGAAAATGACTTCTGTTGCATCCCAGGTATCTTTTCTTCTGCTACATTGTTAAGAAATATAATATAGTCAGAGGTATAGACCTTGGAAACAAATTTAGACCATTTACTAATTTGCAAATTGTGTTCTATGTTCACATTTCCTAGGGTGACATTGTAAGGTCGCCTGTACTTCAGCCAGTCCGTGGGGGAGGGGGGTTATTAGCTGCTTATGTTTTATTTATACATTATTTGGTTTGATACAGGAATTATGCCCTTTTTTTTTAATAAAAAAAGTTTGAAACTAATTAGTTTAGGTCAAATCCCAAGATTTTACAGAGAAAGTGTCTAAAGGTCAATGAGGTTAAATTATATACCTATAGTTGACAGAAATTAGGAACCATGAATCTGGACTTCCCATCCAGTACATTTTTTACTACAAAATGTTGATTTGATTTTCCATTTTGAAAGACACAGAAGTGATCTGTGAAATGGTGATTAGCACCAGGCAGCCCCGGGCAGCCCTGGAATGCTCCATGGTTCAAATGCCCAAGACCAGATGGAGGTCCAGAAGTGGATGACTCAAAGTTTATTAGTTTTGCCACCTGGGCAGTACAGCCAAACCAGCTGCCACAAGGCAGTTCCAATTTCAGCAGAGCAGTAAATGAACATAAAAGTGAGTGTAAATCCCAAGAAAAAAGTAAAGTAAAGGAGAATGACTGCTGCTGTTGCAAGGAGAGTCATCCAGGCTGAGCCCCATTTATAACTCTTGTAGGAGACACAGCTCCCAAGCCAGGTAGAGGGCAAGGACAGGTTGCAGAACCAATCCCTGAAAAAAAACCATCCTTTGAGTTGCTCCACAAGCCAGTCTCAATTTGGGATGTTTCTTTTGCTGGCTTGGTAGATTCCTGATCACATCTGATGATAATAGAATAAGAAAAGCCAGCCCATGCAATATCATGATAGTGCTATGAGGCCAGAAGCTTTTCTTCCTGCAAACTATGGAAGGTTGTTATTTGGTCACTTCCTTTTCATAGTTCTGGGCCCTTGGAGGCGTGGATAAAATCATTGGAACATAAGCGCTTTGTGGCAGATCACCAGGAATCAAGTCATTATCCTCATATGGAATTCAATAATTACAGGTTTTCAATTTCTGTATATGAAATACTGCAGGAGTCAGAGGTTGGCCCTACAGTTTTAGATGACCCTTTAATAGATCTGTAGTTCTTGAAAGCTGAAACAAGTATAATAATGAGGATATGGGCCTAGGGCCATGTTGAAAGAAGTCCAGTAGTTTTTACTTGAGAATGATTAATTAATTAATTTAAAAAGCTAAATAATCTTGATCCTCGGTGCCAGGAAGAGTGCTTTGGGCAAAAGGAACAGAAAACTTGACTGAACTGACTTAACAAAATAGAGGTTTGTGTGTTATTTTTTCATGTTATGAGTTTAGAGGAATGTGGCACCTGGTCATTTCATTTGCTCAATGACGATGCAGGCTCTTTGGGTGTCATCTTGATGGAAAGTAAAAGGGGAAAGTAACACACTAGTTGCTGATGTATTTTGCAACGACTTTGATGCTAAAGGCTGGACCAGGGTTCCATCCACTGGGTCAACTTCTGCCTTCAGATGATCTTTTCAGGAGCGGGTGTTTCTGTGTTTATACTTCTCAATTGACCATTACTCAGGACTTGGTCTCACGCAGTAATGTAATACTGCTCTGTTTTTCTTTGTGTGATGAAAATGTGGTTGCCTGCATATTTTCTAACCAAGCAGAACAGTTTTTTTTTTTTCCCAAGCTGTTTTTGTTTTATTTTTTTTTTCATTTATTTTTTTATTAGTTGGAGGCTAATTACTTTACAATATGCAGAACAGTTTTATCTTTCTCTTTTTTTCCTTTTACAATGACATGAAGTAAAGTCAAATGAGAATGTTTCTCTTATGACCTTTTATTTATGAGTAGAGATAAACAAGCTTCTTTTTCTTTCTTTTTTCCTTCTGGTAGGTGGCGTGTTTGACCCAGGTAGCTGCTAATTATCTTATTGGCCAAAAGGAAGCGAAAAGGTGGGGCACAGCTCATGCCAGTATTGTTCCTTACCAGGTAAGAAGACAACAATATAGGATCAGGCTACTAGAATCTGCAGTTTTGTAATTCATGAGTTTGAGAAATGATTTCCTCTTTAAAAAAAAAAAAACTTTCAGTGTATTCTGTCATATATCTTTGACTCTTAACAAGGTTCTGTTGTTCACTTCAAATTCTGTGTTTTGCACATTTCTTCATCAGAAGATTAGTAACAGGACACTTAAATGGATCAAAAGAACTTGCTGAAAGTGAGTGACTTTTGGATTCATATAATGGTTTGCTTTTGTTTTTCACCAAAAAGAGGCACTGATTATAGCCATTTTATAAAGCCTGGTCTGTTTGTCATGTCAATTAAAAACCAAATGTTACCTACCCCAGCTGACAATAATATTCTCACAGGCATGGAGAAAAACGAAAATTTGCGGGTGACAGATCTTCGGTTTTTGAGCAAAGCAGATGGTTCGGGAACTGCTGTTCTTTATTAAGTGTCTAAACTTGTCCTCAGAAATTCTTGACTTTGGCTAGTGTGAATGGATATGTGAAGAAACTATGATCTTTCAAAAATAAAAACAAAAACTTGTCTTCAGCCTCTTGAACAGAGGACAGTGTTGGAAACCAGGGTAATTCATTTCAAATGATGGACATTCAGGCTGCAGTTTTTGATATATATGGAAAAAGTATCTTTGAGTTGCAAGGTTTTCCAGTAAAATTCCAAATCACAGCATATAAGGAGGTATATTCACGTTTAAGGTGTATAGTCTATTTTTTGCTTATTTTAAAAGTTAGAATGTCTTTAAAAAATGCTTTATGTACATCTGTGTATCCCTCCTGGGTGTTTATACTGAGAGCTCTGGTTCTTTGGTATGCTTCTCAATTATTTTACTTTGAGGTGAAAAAAAATTTAGAATCCTCAGCTTTTATTATTATAGGTAAGAGATATGGAAGACTCTGTGTGTGTTTGTGTATTTCTATTCTTGGAAGACAGAACATGTACTTTTCCTTCTTGAATTGTCCCAGTCACATAAAATGGGATACTGTGCTTATTTGATCAGTTGATTGCAGCCTTATAATCTATAAGAAATAAGAGAAGATTGACTAGAGTCTTTCCTCAGAAGCCCAGAATTAATTTGTTTCCTCTTGGTGGAGAACGAGTTCAGCACTGTGATTAAGGAATAAATGCAAATTTAGCTTGAATGAAACTAGCCTACCAAGATGGATCCTTGATATGCTTGTAGAAACTGGTCTGTTTTCAATTTTTAAAATAGATTTGGGAAATATTTTTATGGGTGAATTACAGGATAATTATAATTCAGTTTTCTATAATAATTACAGCTTTGCATCTCATTTGTGTTTTCTGAGTTTTGAGCTGAAAGTCTATAATGGAAGATTCTGATGGTCTCAGGAATAGTTTAGGCATCCACTTCATTCCCCTCACTTTTGATTGAACCCTATCTGAGGGATCAGGGACCTCAAATGCATGAAATAGAGATTTTTGAAAAGTAATGCTCTTTGATTTGTGTATTATTTTGTATACATGTAATTCTTAATGCCTTAGGTTGATCATCCACTTGAGCTCTTTCCTCCCTGTTTTTTGTCTGCCACCTTGTTGAAAATGGGGCTTCCTTGGTGTCTCAGTTGGTAAAGAATCTGCCTGCACTGTGGGAGACCTGGGTTCTATCCCTGGGTTGGGAAGATCTGCTGGAGAAGGCAAAGGCTACCCACTCCAGTATTCTGGCCTGAAGAATTCCATGGACTGTATAGTCCACAGGGTCATAAAGAGTAGGACACAGCTGAGTGACTTTCACTTTTTGTTGAATATGAGTAGATTAGACAAGGCTTCCCAGGTGGCTCAGTGGTAAAGAATCCACCTGCCAATGCAGGAGACGCAGGTTCAGTCCCTGGCTGGGGAAGATCCTCTGGAGAAGGAGATGGCAACCTTCTCCAATATTGTTACCTGGAAAATTCCATGGACAGAGGAGCCTAGCGGGCTACAGTCCATGTGGTCACAAAGAATCACACAACTTGGCAACTAAATAACAACAGCACAGTTATCAATCGGGCCACTCCTTATTTGATATATGACTACCGTGATTGTTGTTGTTGTTCAGTCACTAAGTTGTGTTGGACTCTTTGTGACCCGATGGACTGCAGCATGCCAGACTTCCTTGTCCTTCACCATCTCCCAGAGCTTGCTCAGACTCATGTCCATTGAATCACTATGCCATCCAACCATCTCATCCTCTGTCATCCCCTTCTTCTCCTGCCTTCAGTCTTTCCCAACATCAGGGTCTTTTCTAATGAATTGGCTCTACACATCAGGTGGCTAAAGTTTTGGAGCTTCAACTTCACCATCAGTCCTTCTAATGAACATTCAGGACTGATTTCCTTTAGGACTGACTGGTTTGATCTCCTTTCAGTCCAAGGGACTACCATGATAATCCCTTAATTTAATAGCACATATATATCCCAAACTATCTCCCAGAGCTCTTCAATATCCTGGGATCCTCTGTTTGCATATTCTCCTCTGTTTTCTGGGCTCATGATGCATATTGATCTCCAATATCTATAATTATCCTCTCCAGTATTATAGAAGATCCATTCACAACTATGCTAAAAGCATAGGAGATCATACTGAATATTTTGAAGAAAAATGGAGTTCTTTTATAGGTGAAACTTACACAATCTCCATTAGTACCCTCACCTCCAATAGAAGTATACCGAACCATCTCTGTATTCCCGAGAAGACTCTCTCACCCCCAGTCCATATCACCTGCTGCAGGACTTGAGGGAGCTCACCGAATTACATGTGTTCTTTCAGCTGCACTTGCCTCCACGATCAGTATAAACTGCCCAAGAGACCAATCTGGAGAATGAGACCACAGCCACAATATCCTTCCCTTATAAGACTGCCAGAGTGAATTCTGTTGTTCCTTACGCATTTGCCTCCATCATTACCAGGACTCAGCCTTCCAGGCCATCTGTTATCACCTGGGCAATGTCTCCCAAATGGCTCTGTTCACCTCTTCCCTTGACCCAGTCATTTCTTCTCTCATCGGTCTTGGTGGTCTAGGATCCACGTAGCAAACCAAAGCAACAGCCTGGCTTCTCATAGCCTCCTGTTGCTCTTAATGATCTTTACCTGTTGATTGGTGTGGATCCCAGCCACTTATTTCTCTTAAAGGTGAACACGAATCATTTGGCAGTCCTTTTAAGATGGTGATTCTGTTTCCAGGCAGTGTTGATGTTGCCCATCACAATGATAAGATTGTAGATCTAGACTTGCCTATTATTGATGACTACACCATCTCATTTATTTTCCACTGGCAAATCCCAATGCTAATTGGATGTAATAGTCCATCTATTCTGTGCCTGTGACAAAGTGGTGAATATGGCTAGAAAAAACATAACTACCATGTTACATTCTCACTCTCAATTCATGGCTATCTCTCTGTCTTACTTAGCAATCTAGCTATATTCACTTACATATTTATCGTCTCTCTCGGAGGTAACTATTTCACATTTCTCTGTTGACATTTTCCTCTTCTCTCCTCATCCTTAGCCAAAGACTTTGTCTCATATGACACTAAAAATTGATGTGACCGTAAGATAACTGCTTCCTTTTTGTTTTCAAAACATCATTGCCTCCTATCACAGTGGATGAACCCCCTTTTCACGTTTTACCTCCCTAAAGGCATTGCTCATGCACTTGAAATCTTCCATTACCTGTGTTATCCATCAGTAGAGAAATATATGATTACATCCTTTACCTTAAAAAAAACCCAGCCTTGGATACCACCTTCCCCTAAACCCTCACCCCCGAACTCCAGGGCATGTCTTACTCCATTTGCTGTCACATTTCTTCATTCTCTTACTTCTGTTACACAGCTCTTCAAAAGTGTTGGGTGGTGTCCATGGAAGGAGCACTGCACCTTGTGTTCTATAGTGGTTTGTGCCTCACAGGTAAAGAGATCTTACAGCACCCTGAAACCTCAGGAGTCTGGGTGCTGTGGACTAGCTAGGGGAAGCCGACTTTCTGGATAGTTCATTCATAAGAATAGTCTTATGCTTTATCCTGAACTTTTCAAATGTAGGGCCTTCAAAGAGAATTTTTCCTTTAAATGGCCTGTTAATTCACATGATGATTTCTTTTAAATATAGCACCCCCCCCAAACTTCCAATTCATGAGAGTGAAGAAAACACTTAATTCAGATAATTAAATACAATCATGTCTCCCTTTCTTTAGTATGGGTTCATTCAACCAAGGAGTAGAGCAAGAAGCAGTGCTGTGTTGTTTCTGGTAGGGACATTATACTGTATATTTAATTTGGCATAAGCAGAAACTTAGACAGGCAGTAAATTCCAAGTTTGAAGAGATGCAGCACTTTACTATCATTCCTTAGAAAAATGTCAAAATGATGTTAAATCATAGCAGATTAGGTAACCTTGGGAATCTTTTTTTTTAACCCATGTTTAAGAGTTTTTAAAAAGCCAAAATGTGAATGATACACATCTGTTTCTTCTTGTGTGATTTTTTTTTGTACCATAGTTGCACTAAAACATTCATTCACTGAAGTTTGAAAGTACAGTTGAAGCAAGCAGATGATTGTAGTGTGTATCATATTTAACTGATAGATTGATAGTGACGGTAATAATAATAATCATGCTGGCTTTCACTGAACACATACCATGTAACTGGGATATATATGTGTGTGTATTTTTTTCTTTCTCATGTTACAAGGATGAAATGGACATTTAGAGAGATAAAGCTGTAGCTGGGAAAGTGAAAGGGCCTGGGTTGGAACTATGATTTTCAGTTTTCAGAACTTGTTTCCTTTCTCACTGTATCCAAACTGTGGTTCTTTTGATGCTCCTCGTTGTGGCTACCTGTCTTAGGTTCTTCTGCAGATAGAATTCTTCTGAGCTGTTTCCATCGTCTCTTTGACAAGGTGCATGTGAGCATGGTCAGTCGTGTCTGACTCTTTGCAACCCCATGAACTATAGCCCACCAGTCTCCTCTG